ACACACACACACACACACACACACACGCATACGCTCTCACACATAACAGGGACGTGACAGTGTCCTTTATGCAGCTGTTGCACAGCACAAAACTCATAAAAATGAAATATGAAAGGATTTTGACTTTTCGCCGCTAAATTGTACTTTAGCTCTCGTGTGTTCTGAGCGTTCGAATTCGAAATAAACAGCAGGCAGGTGCTATTGTCTCTCGAAACTTTCGTGTCCTTCCTTGTAGTTTAACTTTCAGCCAATTTATTATTTAATTTCCCCCTTGTGTGCGATGTGTGCGGGATGTTAGTATCTTTGTGAGAGGTGGATCCACCCGGAAGTGGTCAAATTACAGGTTTATTCGAACTGCAAACATTGGTTGGCTAGGCTCGCAGTGGTTTCCGTCTCCCTCAGTTTCCTTACAAGTAAATTTATGGCTACCTCTTGACATATGTATGTATCAGCTTGCTTCGACGAAATGAAAACCGGTCTGGGAAGGTTGGTTTTTTGGCGGGATGGAACTGCCGCTTCTAATATGAGAGCTGTGCTGTTTGCTATTGCATCGTGCGTGTAGCAGTGTACTAGGTGTACGTTTATTGCAGAATTTAAAGAAGCATTTTCGTTATTCGATAAAGATGGTGATGGCACAATTACGACAAAAGAACTGGGCACTGTTATGCGATCCTTAGGGCAGAATCCGACCGAAGCCGAGCTGCAGGATATGATTAATGAAGTTGATGCAGACGGTGAGCCGATTGATGATATGGTGTGAGCATATGCTGGGCCTCACGCCTTCATAGGATTATCGTTATTTTCTTTCTGCTTCAGATATGCATCCGCCTTTATAGGCCGTTTGATCGCTCCCTGAAGTGATGCCCGATATCTCTGTGCGCTTATGTGTTTTGTAGGCGGTTAGCTCACTGATTTCCTTTACCGACTCTGGCTAGCTAAATCGGATTTCACATTCTTGTGGTGCCTTTTCAAAAGCGTTTTCATTGTTTTGTTCCTGGTGTCATAGTCGGAAAAGCGCATTGGTATCGTTTGAACTTTCAAAGGTATTTGCAGGCAACGGCACTATCGATTTTCCGGAGTTCCTTACCATGATGGCACGGAAAATGAAAGACACAGATAGCGAAGAAGAAATCCGTGAAGCCTTCCGAGTATGCATTTCTTTTTCCTTATTTTTTATCTGTCTGCTCACTGTAGACATAAAGCGATTGTGGTTGCTGTTTTCGAAATAAATCATCAATATTGTCGAGAAAGCCTCGAAAATCTTTATGAAAGTACAGTTTGGTGATGTTACTGGGATGCGAGTCAGTTTTTCCGTGTCTCTATTGTCGGTCTACAGTGTAGCTGTAAACATAATGCCAGCTTTCATCATTTCTGTGTTTGACTGTCTGATTTTCAGGCGGACTCTTGTATTTTTACTTGGAACTTCTGTAGAATCCCGTTAATCTCACAAGCATTGCGCTGAGTAAGTGCGCAGTGGTTTAGCTCCACGCTTTCGATGTTTAGATCACTTCTCCAATCCAGCCTCTAAAAATTAGTCGTTGAGGAGAATGCCAAAAAAAAAAATTGGGAAATATGACATCTTCCGGCCTAGCAGCACTTGGCCGGTGCACAATTTGAAATGGGAAAGTATTATGTAGTACTATTTGCAGGTTTTTGACAAGGACGGTAATGGTTTCATATCAGCAGCGGAATTGCGTCATGTTATGACGAATCTTGGCGAAAAGCTTACTGATGAGGAGGTGGACGAGATGATCAGGGAGGCTGATATCGATGGAGATGGTCAAGTCAATTACGAAGGTAGGCAACTTTATCTCCCACTTCATTCCTTTAAGCACTATTGATATACCTAGTAGGTAGTTAATCCTGAGTACACCTGGAAGTCTGGGTATCATTTTTGGCCAAATTTGGGATAGCCGTTTCGAAGTAGCTCTCACACTGAACGTATATGTGTAGGGTCATGTAAGACAGACATGCTGGCAGTAAGTTGCTGCCGAAAGCTTAAAAGTGCGCTGCATCTTCACGGGCCATTGATAATTGGTACTGTATGTGACCACTGATCATTTCTAGCCAAACTTGCACTTCACTATATTAACTGGGCCAGGTCTTGTGGAACACCAGGTATCCCATGTAAGTTTTTAGAAGATTGGTAACTCTGTATCTTTATATCTTAATTTTTCCATTAGCTTGGTAACTGCTGGCTTGGCAATGGAGAGCAGCGACGGTTAGAGGATTTTTTTTTTCAAAGAATAATGGTAAGTTTAGCGTTCCGGATCAGTGATATGCAGTCGCTTTTTTAATACAGGATAACTTCACGGTTCTCGCCGGATTGGTGGGCTTGCTGCTCCTCTTGCTTGTAATCTGTGGACGTTGGTTGTTAGTGAGAAAAAAGCAATTACTTATATAGCCTTCTCATAAATGGCACTTGTACTGGGTAAATGGGATGGGTACGAATTGGCAAGAGGCATTTGGGAAAGTCTCGCCAGTACACACAGATGGCCAGGAGACGTCACCTGAATGCTGCATTCCATGAAAATGTCTTACACTTCTGCAGTGCAAGTGGCTGGGCTGAGTGCAGGTGTCGCCTGTTTCAGGGAGGAAGGAATGGGTAACCACTTTCTCATGGATATTTGCAGTGGTATTTTTGTTTCAGAGTTTGTGACAATGATGACAACCAAATAAGTGCGAGAGTGCTGCAGCAGTCATGCAAACAGCAAATTGGCCAGCACTGAAAACAAAAATTTTTCATTGCTGCTGCATTTCGCGTTATCCTCTGCAAATCATGTGAAGCTTAATTGATATACTGATTCGTGTTTTTTTTCCTTTTGTTATTTATCTAATACCATCAATAGGTGGTGTCGCCATTTTATCACCTAGTCATATGAAATTTTTGGAAGTCTGTAGAGGCATCGTTCCACGCAGGTGAATTTTATCAGTCGAGCGGAGGGATGTGGGTTTTTTGTCGTCTCTTCAAATGTGTCATCTGTTCAACTTGTAAAAAATTATCTAGTAATGTGATCAAAAGTCACCAGTTAGTTAGCTGGTAAATGTTAGTTTTTACCTAGCAAGGGCAGTTTTGTTTCTCCATTTCGAGCTTCCGAAGTTTTCTCCACTCTGGACAGGCGTTTGAATCAGTTATTTCTGAATGGGTTCACTTTTTTAAAAATTTTCTTGGTAAAATTGTTCTAGTTTGGGAACACGGGCGGATTTTACTGCTCTTGTAAAAGGCATTCATTCATTCCCGGTAGCTCGTATTTTTAGTGCACATATTCGTAAAGGACATTCTTCTTTCGTTTCCTCGAAAGCATTATTTATTTTTTCCTTTATTAATTCTTGATGTATTTGGGCAGCAGTTTTGCTTTTTCCTGATAAATCTGTGCTCGTTCCTTTATTCCTACTGAATAATCGAGGACGATTTGGTGTTTTAAAGATTGCCACCAGGTGCTGCTTTAGAAAACATGAAAAAAAAAACTTTAACTTTAAACGCATAAATACCGTAAATCTCCCGCCACGCCGTGGCCTAATCACTTGTTCACTCCTTTTGTTTTGATCCCGTTCACCATAACTGTGGATGGCTTAAATTCAGGGCAATCGATTTTCACGCTGAATTGTCGTGCTTCGTCCGGACTTTTGATGAGCACATTTAACTCCAGGGCAACACCAGCCAGATTCCTGATGTCGTTCACATGCACCTGCAAATGCATTCCTCTGAGTCCCAGTGGTGTCTGGGTAGTACCGGTGTTCCAGATGCACTCACTTTTGACATCATTTTGGCAGTTAACCTTATCAGTCACACTTCACGTATGATGAACAGGATGGGGGTGTCCGAAGTTGGCACAGCTCCGCTGCCACCTTTAGGCTGGACCTACCTCTTCCAGCGACCTCCTTGTCAGGCTTCCAATTTGTTTTAGGCCTGCACAAGAAGTATCAAATTTCCAGCTTGTTGCGGCGTTTAATGGTACTCAGGCTACTTGCTGCGGGTGCTATCACGACCAAGGAATGGCGCCAAGGAACCTGAGCAGCATTAAATGCCGATTCACAATCTGATCATGTACTAGTTTCCCGTCATCTGTGCCGACCGTACAAAACCAGCCATTATGACCAATTCTCCTAGTGACGAAACAGTCAGAGAGCTAGTTTTCACGCTTCCCTGCCCTCGTATCGGGCCAATACATGTTTCCGTAAAACTTCCGCCCTATGATTTCTTTGAATTTGGATTTAAGTGACTCCTTGGGGAAGCACTATTAGGATTATAAAGGTCGTAATTGCTGGGAAAATTTGCTTTCATGTTGGTAGCAGAGATAGAAACCATGTTGAGATAGGCCTGTATGGGCAAGCGCATGATGCCGTAGCGGCATGAGTGAGTGGGGACTTTCATTTCCAGAGATGAGTGGTCGTAACAGGCGGAGTGTATACAATGTTTTGGCGGTTTCAGCATAAAGGTGAATTGAGGTTTGTGAAAGCAGTGAACTCAAGCACTTACAACTCGTGGGATGACAATTGTGCCATCGGATTTGAGCATCGGTACCATCAGATCGCCGTTGTCATGAGCGCAGTTGGTCAGTTCTCGATTATCACCGCAGATTCTGTCGGTTGTTTCTCTGCTTGTTGCATCGCTGAGCAGGGTCTGCGGCGTTGCAGTTAGCGACGACAGCGGCTGTTCCGATGATTCACTGCTTGGGCAGTCGTAGCCACTGGCAAAGGGTAACATTTTGTGAATACGGTCATCAAGAATGAGGTCGTGGTATTTTCAGGACTAGCGTACTAGTTGTTTTCAACGACCCAATTGAAATTCTCTTGTGCAGTATCAAAAAAGTCAGCGGATGAGTGCTGGAAGTTTATCATGCTCATACGCATTCAGACAATAACATCCTTATACTTACGCAACTTTGCCGATTGTGTCTATCTGCCTGTGCACAATCGGCAAAGTTGCGTAAGTACACTAGTCCATGTGCTGTTTTGAGCGTGTGTGTATATTTAAATGGTGTGTGCGCGTGTGTTTCCTTCTGTCCGATTACTTCAACTCGGCAACCAAGCAGGCTTAGATACTGAAATTCTTTCATGGGTTCCTTGGCCAAATGCGACCCTAGGAGCGTGATATGAACTTCCACGCACACCTGCATCTCACATTTGGGCGCTTGAAGGTTTTGGTGGGAAAACTGTTAACTCGGGAAGCAGAAAAGCAAGAAAGCTGGGATTTTGAGAGCAACCCCCCCCCCCCTCCTTCCGGCCATGCCCTCCACGTACAACCCAAGGGTTTCAAATTCAGCCCCTAAGTTTGTCTACATTTCACGTATAGGCACGTAAAAGCTTTGGTGGAGAAATCGCTAACGCGGAAACCAGAAAAGCTAGGAAGTTGAAACAAAAAGTTTTGAAGGGACGTTCCAAGCTCAAGTACTATCCAAAAATATCAAATTCAGCTCCTCAGTACGCTTGGGTTTTACGTAAAAATATGTGTGAGTTTTGGCTGAAACACGGACAACTCGAGGATCAGAAGAGCCAAGAAGTTCAAGTTTTAGGAGGATGTTTTTTGTCCATGTGCGAAGAGCAACCGGATCAGCTAGCCGCAAAAATGCGCGACTGCACCATTCCCTCTGGTACACTCCGCAATTACGTTTTGTGTTATGCAGTGCAAAAACACGCATGTTATACAGGGGTTGTGTGCATATGTGTGTTATGTGAGTATATGCATGCGTCGGCGTACGAGTGTCGTGCATTAATCTGTCCATGTATGCCGATTTTTAGACCTTAAGGGGGCTGCGAAGATGGAATTTTTTCTTTTTTTAGCAACTTAGCCAATTACTGCAGACGCATCCTTAAGCTTAGGCAGAAAGTTTAAATTCTTCTGGCTCTCACATGCCGACAAATGAGATTTTTTGGCGGGAAAACGGTTTTTTGAGCAAAACAAGCTAGGCTGTCGAAATGTTAACAATAATGTCTCCTGTTCATGAGCGGCGCAAAGAATTTTTTTCAGTTCAGCCTTTATGCACTTCCAGGTCTTGTGTATGAGAAAATCAAAATTCAAATTGGCGTCATACCAACTCGGAAATTGCGTAAAAAACTGTAAGAAACTGTAATTTCACTATACTGTTTGCGTCTATGTTTAGGCCGGCAAAAATAAAAAAAGATGAACTTACACCTCCCCCTACAAATCATATACGGATACGTGGAATTTGATGCTAACAAATTCGCAGTTCCACGAGCAAAGTTACTAGAATGCTGAAATTTCCTGCGCATGATCGACGACCGTGATTGGGCAGGTGTGCACGAAAATAGCTGTCATGTTCCTCCTAGATGGCACTTACGGACACGTGCAGTTTGACACTGATAATTTGTAAGTCCGCGGCCAAAGCAACTGGAGTCCTAAAATTTTCTGAACTTGATTAATGGCCATGATTGAGCAAGCGCACATGAAAGCAACTTTCACGTCTTCCATACGCCTTTGGTACATATATGTGGAATTTGTGTCAACCATTCTATAACTCCGCAACTAAAGCGGGAGAGTGTTGGAATTTCCTGAGCACAGTCCCCAAATATGTACGCCTTAAATTAACTTCCAAGTCCCATAAATCCCACGCTGAAACATGCGACAGTTTTCTGACTGGCTGTGCAAAAAACGTATGATCACACCGACACCCCTGGTATGCGTCACTGCTGGTTATTCACACTGGAATTATGCACCAGGAAGATGCTTGAGTGACAGCACACTCAGTAAAATTGGTCCGCTGGCGACATTGTGCGTGGTTACCTCTCCCGGTGCTGTCTGGAAGCAAGCTCAGAGTGGTTCCGACAATAACCAAAACGAAATGAGTCAAAACTAAATGCAGTGCATGTCTTATGCTAATCTGACTGTGAATTTTTGGTTAGTTGACGATTTAGGGACTGCAGATGAACCGCATGAAGCTCAGGAAAAAATCAATACCTCGCCATACGTGGGAAATTCTGTTGGCGTACGTCACGGCACATTGCTGGTTCCTCACGAAATATTGGACTGGCTCCTCCTTTGCTTCGACAGACCTTGTACTTGACCGGCCTGAAACAATTTCGTGCTCCCAGTCAACCAGTGATTCTGACAGTTATTCAGATCGAAATTCCTGAGAATACGTGGAATTGAAGTGTGGCATCACAGAAGTCATTCCATGAGTCACGGGGGTTGACAAGTGACTCACTGTATTGACTGGTTTTGAAAATCAAGTCGCCGTTAGAAAAGGCATGGCTTGATTTTAATGGCTGACCTGTGAAGACGAGACTTCTTAAGACTGGATTAATTTCTACAGGGAACGAAGGGTGGATGATGTCAGCTGGAGGTCTGCTGCGGGGTCGAAAGTAACTGCAATCGAGAATTAATCCTGGTTGGGCAGATAAGTTATTATGCGTTTTTTTTTTTTTTTTTTTTTTTTTTTTTT